CGCCCGGCGAGCATCCGCGTCCTCCGCCCGGTGTGGCCCTAGCCACGGGCCCCTGCCGTCCTGGAGGCGCCGCGCCCCGAGGCCCTCTGTCTGCCGCCCTACGGCCGTGTGACGGCGAACGCGTTCGTCGGTGCTGGAGAAAGCAGTTTGAGGTCAGCGGGAGTCGGTTCTTCCGTTCAGGATCGTGGATGCGTACGTGTTACTGGCCAGCCTACCGCAAACCTGCAAAAAGGCAACAGACAGATCCTCTGGTCTCTCGGAAATTAGACTAGTGTGTGTAGTTTGCCCTTATGGGTCACAGTGTCTGTGAGCGGCCTAGGCTGGCTTAAAGAACGAGGTGCACGGCAGGCACCGACAAAATTTATTTATGTTGTGAAGGTTGTGGACTATACACTTATCACCATGAACTGTTTTTAATCACCTTTGCTCTCTCTGATGTCATACTTAATTAATCAGTTAACCGTTTCTTCAGGAAATGGCTAACAGTCAAGAACAGTTTCTTCTTTTTGAAACTTCATTTAGCCAAATTCTTATTCCCAAATAGCTAATAGACCAGTAACAATTAAAAATAAATCAGTTAAATAAAACACGACAATAAGAAGGTGAAAGATGAGTGCAGAGGCTGGTTCTACAGAGTTTTCACAAAAATCTCACCTTCAACCGCTGAAGGAATGAAAAGCAGTCTTCTAGCAGCAGACGCAGTTGTGTGCTCCTGCGCACCTGCCGAGGACAAAAATATGTTTCCTGTTTACTAGCGTTTGCTTTATGACGATAAAGCGATTGGGGCCACAAGCAATACCTGTACCGCTTCTGATGAGGTAAGTTTTGCCATGGATGAGTCGAAGAAAGGCCAGTCTCATTGTTGTGACTTTCAGGAAGATTGATTCCTAGTACTTGGAGTAAGGCGAAAGCAAACAACATGACTAAGACCTGATATTCAGTAACAGTACGTGGTGCCGCCCGGCGTTTCTCGTGGCGTGTTGAAAACTAGCTCACCGCCTTGGAATGCTTGCGCCCGATGGGCAGAGTCGCCATACTCGCATTCACCAATCAGCCAGCCAATCTTTAAATGTAAGAGTTTTGACGCCCTGACAAAAATGCTGTAGAAGGAAACGAGTAATCCAGTGTATTTCAGCATTCCACATTAGCGGTTTTACTATTGTTGTTTCCAGCTTGGTGATTTCTATTCAGTCAAATATTATAGTCTGTGTGAAATGTGTTTTTTATTATGTGACACTTCTCAAGCTCTCCTTCTGTTTGTTATACTGAAAAGTTTTTTAAATTTTAACACATTTTTCTATTTATTATAAAAATAAACGTCATATCATATTTATTATCTGAAATATATATTTATGCCTGTCCCTTTCTGTTTAGTCTCACTGATACTGATTAGCTTATACTTTTGCATTTATTCAGAGGCAGATCGGAACCCAGGCTTTCCATGATCACCTTTATAACTGTCTTTTGACTTTCACACTAAATAAGTATTATCCCATAAAATTTCGGACTTCCTGTTGTGTCACACTACAGATGTCTAACATTAATTGATTCTATGTAGCAGATATTGCTGAAGTTGAATTGTCTGCCTGCCTTTCAAAGCCTTTGAGAGTTTTTATCACGGTGTTGTCTCAGTCTTAGCCCTCCCCAATCTTCTGACTTGCAGCTTTAGTTCATAAACAACTCCTCTTAGAGGAGTTCTTCTTGGAACACATAAACACCATGGCTTTTCATATTCTTATAACTTCATCTCATTTCCCGCTGCTTGAAATCCTCCCTTCATTACTCTTCTTCCAGTCACCATGCCCGTTAAGTCTGAACTAAAAGTCAAGCTTTCTTATGAATCGTACATTGGAATTTCTGTTTTCTAAAATCCTAATAGTATCCCTGTCAGCATTGCTCATTTAAGTATAAAGTTTTATTCAGTGAAATGGTTTATTACATGTGTCTTGCTTCCCCAGTGAGATCATGGGTGTAAAGGCCAAGATTGTGGAGTCAGTATGAGAGAGGATGAGGTATAAATATTTCCCCAAGCTCAATGAGAGCAGGGAAATTATATAACCGTCCCTTATTCCCTTCATAGGATCTGTACCAGTAAAAAAACACATCTTGGGTTGCTTTTATTTGTTTGAAATAGTGAAATGTTTTGGAAAAATGCAATCTAAGGAAGATTACAGCAAGAATAAAGTATGTTGACTTCATCACATTTAAGCTGTAACTACTCATTGCTTGTCTGTGCAGTATCTGATAGCATGAATCATATCTTCTCAAGGACTAGAGGCAGGGAGCAGTTCAATTTCTAGCCTAGTGTGACTGTACCGAAGTGTAGTCTTATTAGAGCTAATGTCAGCTAGTTTGTCAAATTTAACATCAAGTCCTGTCATGGTCTCCAGAGCAATGAGGTATTACATTGATTGATCTGCATAGTTGCCAACTGCTTGACATCGTTCAGCTTTGCCCTGGGCTCTGAATGAGTTCATGGCTATCAGTCAACATATATATGAAATTATTTACCTGGAAAGTTTTCTGACATTAATATTACTAAATCCTTTGTGATTTGAGTCAGTTGTATTGTTTACAGTGTATCATCTGTGACATCTCATGGAATTTTTGTACTTAACTATGTTTCAAAATTTGATACAGCCTACAGTGTACTAACTCATGATGTAAGTAACAAAACTTTAAATAACTGTTTTGTACTGCCCTACCATAAACTTTTGAAATTTGCTTTTAAGTTGTAAAAAAAGTGGCAATTATAAAAGCATAAAACATAGCGAGTTTTACTGAACAATGTGCAAATATCAATATTTCTACATATAAGCGATTTTTTGGAATATTGTATTTATTCCTAACTCAAATTTATAAATGACATTTTTGTCATAAAGATTTAAATTCTTGTCTTAAAAAACTGATTTAAATTATTTCATTGCCTTCTTTATCTCTAAGCAGAAATAATAATTATTCAAAATAATTTAATTTATATCAATTTTATTTAAATCTCATGTTTCAGTCATTCTACAACAAACCAATATTGTTTGCAGCATGCATAAAGAAAACACAAATGCTTTAAAGACAACCATGATTTTTTATTTAACGTTTAAAAAGTTATATACTTGGTAAAATATCCATTTTGATCTTAATCAGACTTTCAAAATTAGATATCATTCTTATGATAACTAAGAAAGCTATGATGAATGAAATTATTTGGTTAAGATACTCCTAAAAATCTTCATGCTGATAGTTAGACATATATAAACAGTATAACATCAATGTTATAATATATACAAAGGGAGGACCCCTAAAAACAATATTTGTAAAAAATGTGTATTTATTCTTACATGTTTAAACTTCAGTCACTTTTAAAGTACTCTCCATTTGATGCGATACACCCATCAGGACACTTTTCCACTGCTCAAAGCAGTTTTTGAACTTATCAATTTTGATGTCTTTTAGTATTTTTGCCATTTTTTGTTTCACTTCTTCCACATCAGTAAAAACGTTTCTCTTTGAGGAGGTTTTTCATCCTGGAAACAAACAAAAAATGTTGTTTGGGGCAAGACGGGGTGAATAGGGAGGTGGAGCATGGGGGTCATGACATTTTTGGTCAAAAACTGCTGAACACTCAGCGCAATGCTGGCAGGTGTACTCATAAATCACCTATAATGAAATGGGCAAACACGTTGAAAGAATGTCCAAAAAATGCTCACTGAATCACTGAAGCTGAACACAGCCTCTCTCAACAATGCTAGCTGTGCTAGCTGTTACACTGATGCCAATGGGTTCCTAGAACACTTACCTAGCGGAGAAAGCCTGTACTACAAAGAACCTACCTTCACAAATAATTCCGACAATTCTTAACTTTTTTTCACAACAGCTTAAGAATTTGAAGCGATGCTTAAAGACATCATATTATTTGTCAACATATTTTAAAATCTTCTGAAGTTTAAGAAATTATTTTGAGATAATCTCTCATTTGTAAGCAAAAATATGTAGCTATTTCAACGTTGACACGGTAATAAAAATATTAGCATCATCTGGTTGAATAGATTATTCATTTGTTTATTTGTTTATTGAACAATTCATTTGGAATTGCAGTACTCGGTTAAAAAAAATCACATCACATACATGTCTAATTCTTCCTCCCTTATGCTACTCAAATATTTAAGAAATGTTATAATGAAAGTCCAATTTTTAGATAATGACAATCTCTAAATTAGTGGGAAGAAATGAAAATTAAGAAGATGCTATCAAGGTATTTCATTTAAACTCTTCAAGAATTAGCTATTATATATGCATTGCTAATTTCACAAAAGTTTTACATACCTTTTCAATTATCTAATTTACACTCAAATTTTCTGCTGTCAACTAAAACTTAATCCTTGTGTGTTCTTTCATGCTCAAATTTGTTTATTTTTCTCTAAATTATTTACTTGTTTTCTCATTTTTTTCTAGTCATGGAAAGTTCAGCCTCACACCAATTTAGACTTTTAAATTTAGTTTGTCTAAGTCTTTTTCACACATGTTTGCTTCATTTATTATAGATTCTGAGTGGTTCATGCAGCCAGCCGCATTTCTATAGCATTATTCGTGTTACAAAACCAATTTATGTGAATCATGCAAAGCTTAGCATATACAGGGGGTATGCGATAGAAAAATTATTTGTCACCTTTTTACTCAAGTATTGCTAAACATTGGCACCCGTTTCTCTGCTTCTTGCTCCTTTCGACCATAAATCTGCCTCACCGCTGAAGGGTCAAGTGCAATATCGCGGCAGGCCCCTGTAGATTTCTTGGGATTTAACCCCACACGCAAGTTCAGGCTCTGGGCGGCGGCTGGCAGAGGCGCGGCCCGGGCGCTCCTGCCACGTGGCGCGGGTCTGGTGCGGGTGGGCATGCAGGGCCCGGCCGGCCGCGTCCCG